CAACAATAAATGGTGGCAATAAATAATACCCTGTCCACGCCATTGCCGAAGATATATCCCCTCGGGAGGCTCCGTTTCTCGCTGCACCGAGATTTCCCCCATCCGAGTCGTTATCACAAATCTTTTTATCCGGGCGGGGGGCTAACACAGGCGACGCACTACAAATCGTGGTCCGGACACATTTGGGGGAATAAGGACGACGAAAGGTCTATAGAGACAAAGAAGAAATTTGTAATTGCGAGTGTACTGAGTTTTGATAGAAAGCGGATATCAGAGACGTAATACTTGAACGTACTTGAAACATACGTGTAATCCATACTGATATTATAAATGTGGAAGTGAGTTTGTTTGTTTGTTTGTTACGCTTTTACGGGTAAACACCTAAACTGAATTCTTTCACCAATGGAAAACTACATTGTGAGCGAGTAACTCAAATGTATAAATATCAACTTTTGAGTAAATGTATATGGTTCTTTACACAATATATAGACATGTAAATATTTCCCACATACCTTTTGTGAGTTTGTTTATTCGACTAGTCTCAGGACCGTCTGATCTGATTTTCACTTTAATTGGCAGAAAGCTGTTTTAGAAGTATATCAGGCTTCTTTTGTTTTGGATTATATTATGACTTCTTGTCTTCTTTTCGTTGAAGATATATCTTTTTATTATAATAATTTATATTTCGGACATCTGACACACAACGCTATCTCGTTTCAAACTAAGCAGAGCTTGTACTATGAAAGCTAGATTGACTGATAGAATACTTATATACTTTTTTTTTTTAAACATACATAGTATACATAGAAAACATCCAAACTTCGAAACAAATATTTGCAGATCATACAAACATTTGGTCCGACCCGGGAACCGAACTCGAGATATCAGCACTGCACCCCCGAGGCAGTATCTGAGTCGGGGAGTTATATTTTTTTTAATGTAATGTATTTAATACATAAAGATATTCTTTATAACACTCTATGAATAAATACGGCGCACGAAATCATATGACACTTTTTAAAATACTGAATACTGCATAAAACTGTAGGAGTAAAGTATATATATTTCAGTCAACACGAAAACAGTTCAAGTAATGCTGGTCATGTAGTGAAAATAATCAAAACGGTCGAAGTTCAACCGCCAGGCGATATTATTAACAACTTAATTAATAGTAACTTCACACATCTCACACACGGCCAAGGCAACCAGACTGTTATAAACATACTTATATATGGCTCTCAGACACAGGACAAATGATTATCACACAATCATTTGACCTGGGTGGGAATCGAATCCACGACCTCCGGCTTATTATGTTGACATTAGGTTATTCTATCGTATTGGTTCACATCAACAGCCTATGACAGTCCACTGCTGGACATAGGCCTCTCCTTAGAAACGAGGTTTTGGCCTACTATCGTATTGGTTAACACTACTTAAAGCTACACTAACCGTGAATTGTTTGAAACCATCAAAACCGTAACTTTGGCACTTAAACCTGCTTTTATCACTAAAAGGACCATTTGAATTGGTTTTGAGGGGTAAAGTAGAACACTTCATTCGTATGAGCGGAGTTCAGGATAGTTTGAATGACTCTAGAATAGGGTTTCCAAAAGTGGTCGATATCGACCCCTTGGGGTCGAAATAGGTTTCCCAGGGGTCGACATAAACGAAAACTGAATTTGTAGGTCGACGAGTTTTTTTTTTATGTTAGTGGGGGCAGACGAGCAGGCGGGTCACCGGATGGAAAGTGACCATCGCCGCCTATGAACGTGTGCAACTTAGGAGTCACAAACATATTGCCTGCCTTTTAGGAAGGAGTACGCTCTTTTCTTGAAGGTTTGAAGGTCGTATCAGTTCGGAAATACCGATCTAAAAATATACCCCTATTAATAAACTCAAGTTCTTGTTTAAAACTTTCAAGGTACTGTATAGGTTGTGTTACGGGACCAGCTTGTTATAAGACTGACTAATATGTCTTTAACATTTATTTTTTTAATGTTGATGAGAAAATGATGTCAAGTTTATTCACTTAACCAACGGCAAATATTTTAAAGCGGTAAGTATTTTGTATAAGAGGCAACAACCTAAACATAAGATTTTTAAATAATTTGGTTATGGGAGTCTGAGGTATCCGTAAATTTTGGAAAAGGGGTCTCTTGGCCAAAATAGTTTAGGAATCCCTGCTCTAGAGCATTAGCCATCTATAATCTAGAAAACCTTTTGAAAATAGTGATTTACGTCGAAATAGATTTTTACGATGTAGAGGCGAACAAACAGATGGATCTAATGATGGTAAGAGTCACAAGAGCGGTGCTGTACTTTGAGTGTCCATCCTGCAGTCTATTCTCTAATCTCTCCAATCTCTCTATTCTCTCCCTCTCTCTCTCTTTTAGTTAGTTTGAACTTAGTTTGAAGTTCGACGCTATGGCAGTGCTGTACGCACGGCTGTTTCCTTAGAAAATAACTCTATTGTTCGTTGTGTGAAGTCGGTCCAACTTTTAAAAGTAGTTATGTGCTCATATTACTTTTCTGTTTCTTTTAGATAATTTTAATATTTAAATCTTCCGCTATAGACGTATCCGGCGATAGTGAACATTGCTATATTTCTGGTATGGTCGCGGATGTGACTGGCGAACCCGAATATGTTCTCAAAGAGTCTGTCACATGACACACAATACCTTGATACCAGCTAGGTGCCAGTTGATGAGCTGAGTTGCAAGTCTAGTTATACTTGCAAGGGTTGCAAGGGTTGTAGTGTAGTTGCATAACGCCGCAACTTAAAAACTATTTTGTGTGATCAACTTTGTGTTTAACCCGAGCTATCATCATCTTAGTCGAAAAACGTCCGACGCGCTTTTATACCCTCATGGTAATCTTAAATAATAATAACGATGTAAAGATGACAACCAGCTGCCTGTATAAGTACAAAGAGAAAAAATATGTCTTCTGAAACTGTTTAGTAACTCTAGTTATTTTAAAATACCTTTTACATATACAACAAACCCATGTAAAACGAATAGCTGTGAAGCTGTGGAATAGGTTTTAAGGAATCTTAATACTGGCAATATTATAACATCTATATGCTAAATATTTAATTAAACAGATTGTTGCTATTGTGTGAATGGATCTGTATTGTTAACTTTAGAGTTGACTCGAATTATAAATAGTAAAAAAAAAGTTAAGCAGAGTAACTTTGACATTCACTATTTTAAACTTAAGTTACTTTTATTTATTTTTTTATTTTTAAAAAGACAACTCCCACAGTAGGAATGTAGCATGTGTCGCGGGGGACTTTAAAAATAAACATGAAATGGACATAAAGAACAACCAGACTCAGAACAACAACTTGTGAATCACACAAAGTGTCATCCCATGTGGGGATCGGACCCACAACACTTAGCGTAGTAGTGAGCTGCGTAGCAACCGTCTAAACCACTACGACATCCGTACACTCGACTTACTTAGTAGAGTCATCTAATCTACTCGTAATCTAATCTAATAAAATTCTCGTGTCACGTTGTGCGTGGTTGAACTCTCCGAAACGGCTCGACGGTTTTTCGTGAAAATTTGTGTGCATATCGGGTAGGTCTGAGAATCGGCCAACATCTATTTTTCATACACCTATATATATATTTTTTTAAATAATGTACATGACAAAACAACGTTTGCCGGGTCAACTAGTTTTTTTAAATAAACGTATTTGTGTAACTTCAGACGGTCACATTCTATAATAACTGCAATCCCGGAAGTGTCTATTTCTTTATCATATATTATTAAGGTTTTGTATTGGGTCCAACATTATTGTTGGTTGCAAATACATAGGACGTATTAGCTACGATACTTTGCTCATACTTATGCACACTTTTTAATTCATTTTTTAGATTATTCGATGTGGTGTTTACCTTTGTGTTATGAAATAAGATAGAAGTATGTCAATATGCATACATATTTTATAGTTATTTGTCGTAAGTATCGTGTAACTCTGCTGGAGTCACTACGCCATCGTCGTATCGCATTCGGTTTATTTTAAACACTGTCTGTTTACATTATACTCTTTCACATTGTTGCTATAAAAGTAGCAGTACTTGTTCGCAGTGTCCACCGTCACCTGACTGCTCAGCTGTGAAAGTCTTCAATTTAAACAGATCAAAATGTTAGTATGGCCACTTTATAAAATTTAAACTAAAACTGTTAATATTTTTGTGTTGGGTTACATATTTTCCTCGCGATTCTCTGCGAACTGTGAGAGCGTTTTGTTGAAAAGTGTGTGTTGATTTACCCAACGAGCGCGGGTGGCGCTAGGCTTGGCCGTCAAACGGTAGGTGAGGTGCCTGATGTCATAGCTCATACGTCACAACTGTGAGGCTTACTCGTTTATTTATTGACCCACGTTTATTTAATTTCGAATAGGTACGGACTGTGGTGACGGATTAAGAATACAGAGTGTTACCACCCCTATTCATCCCGTGGGTGTCGTAAGAGGCTACTAAGGAAGCAAACTACGCAGGACAACAGCACTGCAGCGAGAAGGAAAACTTGAAACAAACCCTATACCAACCCGTCTGGCCAGCGTGGTATAGTAGGCCAAGACCTCCTTCCTAAGGAGAGGCCTATGTCCAGCAGTGGACTAGTAGGACTAGTAAATGCTGTTGATGATGATGATGACGGACTGTAAGAGTCCATTTCAAATAGTATCAATGAAAATCCAAATGATAACAATGAAAAGAAGCCAAAAATAAAAAGTAGGAAGAAGATGACTGCCATCTAATATTTGTTGTACTGTCTTTTCGGTTTCTTTATGGATGTACAATGTTGCCTTGTATCTGTTTTGTAATTTCTGATGATATTACTTATTCGTTAATTACTTAATAAAAACTGTTATTCTATTTGTTTGCAGGCTTGTGATTTTGGTCTTACTAGTTTTTCTATCATATAATGCGAGCAAACCGCAAGGTTTAAAATACACATGGATACCCGATTCTGCTCAGTTTGACTACATGGTGGGTATATCCTACAGAGATGTGCCTGTATGTTCAGGTGCAATAATTAAAATTTATGTAGTGTTAACTGCAGCAAGTCCTATGCGTTATCACAATATAAATCATGGTCGTGTCACTGATTCTTTAAAGGCCCACGTAATTTACCGTGAGTGGGACAAAAGTGTTGCTATTGAAGTTGAGAGCAATTATTTCCAAACAAAATTCTTTAACCACTCAACAGAAGCATTTGAAAAAAGTGGTATATACGCTCCAGTTCATGACTTGGCTTGTTTGGCCCTAACAAGGCAGCTTCCGATCGACGCTTCTGCTCTAAGCGTGCGTCATCCGATCCGCAAACATAGAAGTATAAAGGAGGTTTTTAAATCAACCGGTGTGTTCACAATCGTCGGTCACGGGTACGCTGACCGGCTGCATGTGCAACAGAATATTCAGCTGGAAGCTGTGGATTACCTGGTCGACGACGTGTTAGTGGACTGTGATGAATGGATCCCAAGATCCTGGGGATATTTTGTGTGTTTATTAAACGTTGATAACTTTGTTGGAATATCATCCGGAGCTGCATTACTGCATAATGGTGTTTTTGTTGCTGTCGGAAGTTTTTCCCTGACAAGAGGCAGTGAAACGATTTTATTATTAACCGATTTAAGGAAATATAAATCTTTTCATTTATTTCGTGACGAATACAACGGTACCCAGAAACAAACCATGTGGTGATTATAAATCTATGCAATATAATTTTATGTAATACAATAAAATTATAATCATTACAAGTTCAACACATAAATAAAAATCGTAAGTACTGTATTAAAAGCTTTACGTAAAAGCTTCATAAATAAATTTTGCACTGACACCATTTTGGTGCGTTTATCCTAATATTATTTGGGTTAATGTAAGAAAAGATAAGATAAGAAACTATAAGACAAGATAAGATAAAGTTTATTTTCAATGTCAAACATTGTTAAGGCCGGCTCCTTATCTGACAGAAAATCTAGCGCAACACATCTTCTAATTCGTAGAATTTTATATCCGTGTGATCTACACTGTACACTTCTACCAAAAAATAAGTTTATAACGAAAAATCAAGCTCATGTATTATCATGGAAAAGTCAAGTATCGGTAATCTGCTAGTCTTAGTAACACTTTACTATTTTACAACGAAAATACCTTTTATGACAGTTGTGAGATCGAAAGTTGATCAGAACTGAATTGTGACCGAACTTTTATTACGAGAATTGGCCCTCAGTGCTCGCGCTCGCTTTGTTCCTAATCGTTCCGTGTGTGTTTCGATTGCTCCGTGACGTTATCGAGACAGAAAAAAACTTCGCCAAAAAATTGACGGAATTTGTCAAAGTATCGGGCTTACCTTTAAATATAATTTAATATAATCAACATACATTACAGTAGGTGATGTATTAAAGTTATTTATTCGGTGTGTAAATATCTTACACAAAAAAAAGAAAAATAATAACTTGGACTTCAAACAGATCAGAAAGAAGACATTAGGTACCCTAATGTCTTTAATATGTGACCCATTATATAAAAAGTGTCACGTGTATTGTGGTCTTTACCACGGGAGAGACGTTAAATCGCAGTCACACCACAGCCTTACAAAAAACTGGTGTTAAGCAATTTTTTCGAAGCTTCTCACCGACTGAAAGAGGTTACAAGGGCCGAGACGACCGGATGGCGTAGTGGTTTGTGTTGATACTCCAAAGGTCGCGGGATCAATTCCCGCTCAAGTCAAACATTTGTGTGCATGAACATTTAATGTATTTACAAAAAAAATATGTACAGATATATTTATATCAGTTGTCTAGTACCCATAGTATAAGCTCTGCTTAGTTTTGACTAGATGGCGTTGTGTGAATATGGTACAATATTATATTATTATATCCCTCCTCTCCCTAAGTTTTGGAGGAGGCACTTAAAGGATGGTAACGCTAGTGGGACTCTTGAGTTGCAGGTGTATATAGTTGCTTACCATCAGATGACCTGTCTGCTCGTTTGCCCCCACACATACATCAACAGCCTTTAATAGTCCACTACTGGATATAGACCTCTCCTTAGAAAGGAGGTTTTGGGCTACTACCACCCTTATATGTATAATAAAAATATAATTTTGTAATCAGTTATTCATCACTTTTTAGTACCCTTTGTTAGTTATTTTTGTTATCAATAAAATAAAATGTTTTATTGTTAATACTCGTAGTTTTCATATTTATTTAAGAGATATATGTATATTTACCTACATACCTCAGTATTGGAGGCGATATCAGATTTCTGCTTAAATTAAGGCCACCTAACTACCCCATTAGTTTCACCTTATAGAAAATCATATTCAGCTACCCTATGAACGGTCAGGTATGCTGTCTTGCCACTTTAATGGCATAAAGTCATATGTTTAAAACAATATGTTTATAAATCATCGCCAATAAGGTCTGTACAAAATTCTTTAAAGTCTATAATTGAAATACCGTATAGAAACGGTTCGCATCACTATTTCCTTTGGACGTAGACAATGGAATGCAATTAACTGTTGCGGAAGTAGGGTCACCACTAGACAATTTAAAAAAAATGGGCTCACGTGGATAAAGCATCAAACACTAGATATATTGTCTTATATAGTGAGTCTCATTCTCTAAAAAACGGGTCATGAGGCTCTTGGGGCCAGGGATTGCGGTCCCCGAGCAAACCTATAGATATATATAATTATATTTGTACAATCTTCCAAAAAGTCCCAAGGGCCGTCAAGTATTTGAACTAAAACATACTTGCTCAGGACGACATAAATCTAATAGAAAAATTACACAATGTTTATGCAACAACGCCATCTATCGAGACGGATGTAAAACATAAATAATGACAAGTCAACAATATTTCAGTAGTATTTTGGGACTAAAAATAAAATTAACAAAGTTTTAGGTTTAATTCTAAATAAAGGCCGCCAAACAATAGATTTTTCATTATACAAAAATAATTTCATTTGTAACTTCTAATTTTTTGGTTGACCGTACTATCGAATAGCTATATTTACTTTATTTATGGTCCCAAAATACTACTCAAAAATAATTATTCTATCTATCGGTCCTAAAAGCCCCCCGACCCCATGCGGCTCAAAAATTGAATTTATAGAGATACAATTCCTGAAAATGACATGAATACTCTCCAACCACTGTCCCTGAAAGAATAAGCAGAGACATATTAAACGCCCTCATTTGCCGACTCTATTAATTACAGCCTACCGTCATTAATCTTTAGAGGACAGAAGAGTAAAATAGGAGCATATAAAAAAATAAAATTTAATGGCTATGTTAGGAAAGGGATATTGCTTAAACACATGGATTAGGGAATGTGGCAATAGGTCGAGCAGATCAGGGAACTCCAATTGGCCATTGCTGAAAATGGTGGCAAAATTGAGTCCTGGATAGTCCCAGAAATGTTTAATTGAAGGTGTTCCTACTCAGGGCGGATAGCGCTAGCCTTTTTCGCCTACGACTCGATATAACCGGATTGTGCGGAATTAAAAGTTTAATATACGCATGACCATATGCCCTTTCAATTCATTCAGATTTTAATTGGAGTTGTCTCCTGAAGCGGTGTTCGGTGAACTATGGCGCCAATTATAATTGCAAACTTTAACTGAGGGAAAACGTTAATATAACAATTCAATATATAAATTTCAGGAATCGTTCATTAAACCTTAAACACAGCTTTATAATAGGGGATAAAATATAAAATTGCCGTTGTATAGTAATAGATACTTTGAATTGACATGAAACCTTCAAGGTGTGAGATTTTCGTGTTTAACTTTTTTCGCATGATACCTATGAGGTTCTTCTTTTCAAAAATGTACATCATTTGATTTTTGACTTTCAATTGTTTTTTTTATTTAGCTTAGACGTGAAAGATAAACTCTTCGAAAATCCGAGTCAGTTTTATCAGGTAGAAATGGCTCGCAATATCTACGCTGTGTTTAGAGAGGAGACTGCTTATGAACGCACCATGGGTTATTGGTTTATACGCTTTCGTAATTGAAACTTCAACTTGAAGAACGAACCACGTGGAAGACCGCTTACACAGATGAATTACGCTGAATTGAACGAGATGGTGGAAGCCGATCCGAGTCAAACTACCCAGGAATTAGCGGCTTGGTTTAAGGTTACTCTACCTACAATATTTACTCCTCTAACATTTGAGAAATGGATACCTCATGATTTGATCTTGTTGAATCTTTACAGAAATGAAGAAATATTGGATCGAACTGTAACACGTAGATTGTTTACGATAAGCGTAAACGAAAAATGCGTTAGCTGATCCCAGGTTGAACTCCGCAACAGTGTCCTAAAGCAAAACTTACCAATAAAAAGGTAATGGTAACTGTTTGGTAGTCTCTTCATCGTGTTATTTACTATAGAGTTCTCGGGTCTGGTCAGGCAATAACAGCAGATGTTTACTGTGCCAAACTTCGAACAATGATCTTGAAACTGACACTGAAACAGCCCCGACTCGTGAATCGATCTTCACCATTACTGCTCCATGATAACGCAGAACCTCACACTACAAGAACTTTGTAACTCTACAGGAGCTGCAGTTAAAAACAATTTTTTTTTTTAACGTGTAAATCCCCTCGGACCGTCACCCCGCCGGGGCTCTCGTTCGGCGGGGCGGTGTGTCGGACTCGAACCGACTAAAACCACACGGTGTGCCCTCTTTGCGCTTCCAGTTTAGCTGCAGTTAGAAACCATACCTCAACCTCCGTACTCGCCAGGTTAGCGTCCAACACCTCCCTGAGGTGGTCCGACATGTATTCGAGGGCTCGGACCATCTGCAGTTAGAAACCATACCTCAACCTCCGTACTCACCAGACCCTGCTCCAACTACCTCGGCTTCCAACTACAAATCGCCAATTTCATACTTTTACCCCAAATATTTCTGTGCAACTGAAAAACACTTTAAACTTTGCCATTTCATTTAAAAGGTTAAAAGAAATAGGCTTAATATCGTTTTTTTCATGATACAGGAATACAGCAGTACCTATATAACACAGGAAAGCAATATATTTATTAATATTTCACATTTCTTCTTATTTATACAAAACCTCCGTTCTAAGGAGAGGCCTTAGTCCAGCAGTGGACTATTAAAGGCTGTTGATGATGATGATACAAAGGCACCTGACCTGGTCCAGCTATTACTTCCCCAATTTTTCCATTTATTGAATGCTCAGTTCCACGACACGTTTAATATGGTCTGTACATTTTTTTCCAATCTTGAGTTGCTCTTAACTCTGTTTTTGATAACAATACATAGCCTGCAAAAGTAAAAACCTAAACTCTACCGATACTTACATTAGGAAAAAACAAACAAAATACCCGATTACCTTAAAGAAATATTAAATTGGTATACAAATATCAGAGGCGGTTGTATTGAACAGATGCCAGATCGCTTGGCGGTTATGCGAATCTTGGTTTAGTGATGAGACATACCCTTTTGGGAGGCATCAACTCGAGTTAGAAAAGTAGGTACTTGGCAAATTAAACAATAGGGTTTATTTCCTGGATTGGACTTTGGAAAGTCTAAAAAAATAATTAAATAGTACTTTACTGTAAAACTTTATGGCATTATATAATATGATTCTCTTCTTTTAGAAAATGATAACTCTCTATAGGAATATATCTTGTGTAGTGGCGGACTGTCCCAACATTCATGAAACGAAC